GCCAGCAATACACACACGTGGAAGGGAGGGGTCTAGATAAATGACCTATGAAGGGTCCCGAGACTCATGGCCCAGTGCTTCTGAGTGTATGCTTTTCCCGGCACATTAGCTCACTCCCATCCCCAGCCTTTCTGTTTATCAATAATTGATCTCTACTTCTGATATTAACCATGTGTACCTGGGCCAAGCGCCTTTCCAGGGCCTAAGGAGCTGGAGTCTAAGCGGGTGCCCACTGGACTGTCTATCTGTCTTTCTCTGTCTGTCTTTCTCAGTTCACTAGCAGACTTGTGCGCTTGGGAGTCCCTTTGATCTTTTCTTAATAAGCTTCCTCCACCGCATCACTATCCACGGACCCTGACCAGTTCACTGCTCCGGAACACAGGAATGTGAAAACTTCAGCGAGTGCCTCCCAACTCTGATCTGTACCTACCACATTTTCTTCTGTTAGTTTTGTTCAAGGTCTTGAATTTGTTCAACAGATAAAAGTGTAAAGCCACAGACTGTTACTCTAGTATTGAAACAGAAATAGGGACTCTCACGGGTACAAGAGACGACAGGTTCTTATATCCTCACCCTATGGGGCACAGGGCCTGTTACTTTGAGTGTCTCTCTTCCCCTGTCCACAACGTACAAAATCTGCCTCCAGCTTTGATCACGGGGGAAAGACCTACTAGATAAAATACCAGGGCACCACAAAAGACAAAACTGGCCACTGAATCTCACACGGGAACAGCCCCCTAATCCACGACAAAGAGGCCACTACCCTTGTGACTAAGGAAAAGGACCAGCTGCAGACCTCTCCAGCCCCTTCTACCCCCCACCCCGGAAGGAGCAGTTTCTCCGCTCTGTTGTGCCTTAAGCTCCTGCACTGGCTGCAGACTCTTCTTCAGCCCCTTTCTCTTCCTATTTAAGTTTTGATTGATTTATTCTTCTCTTTTCCTTCCAACTTAAACAACATTCACTGGGGAGCTTGAACTGTACCTCCAGTGTTTATTTCCACAACCACGGGAAACGGTTGCTTCACATCTGCTATCAGTATTAACAATCATTTCAAAGTGTACACTTAAAAATTAATTCCCAGAACATCCCAATGTTTCCATCCCCCGCACGCCCAAATGAAGTTGGAAAAGAAACACCTGACTATGAGTTGAGTACACATTAAAGAGTCCTCATATTTAAAGTCATGAGGGAGTAATTTAAGTGCAAAAACAATAGTTTAGTTATTAAAATGGGTGAGCACAAGCATTCCGAATAAAAGTATTACCCTGTTTCTGCCTTCGCTACACTCCCCGGAACCACAGTCTCTTTCTGCCCAGGCTCTGGCTTAGCATCCCCCAATGCCACGGCACCTCCATCCAGTTTCACTCTTGTCATCAGAATGACAGCAGCACGTGGCAGCGGCATGACAGGAATGTGGGCTGCAATGCCATGTCACCAGCGAAACTCTAGAGTGGGGCTAAAACTCCAAGAGGAATAATAGGAGCGCAGAGCTCGGTGAGGCCACAGAGTAGCTGGATCTAATCCGGTGCTATAGGCTTTGAATGCCCAGAAAATGTGCTCAGCAGAAGGCCAAAGACTCTAGCTGCCAAGACCAGAGCTGCAGTCTGCTCCTGCAGCAGGGTAACCATGCCCTGGAACATAAAGAGGACGGACGGCAGGCCTCAAAATGGAACCCACAGCACAAGATCATCCTGAGTGATTGCCATGTAAGGTTTAGTGACATCCAGAACACCCGCCATGGGCCTGGGGAAACAGTTCCTTAAGTAAAAACACCTGCTCTGCAATGATAAGGACCGAGTTTGAATCCCCAGTACCTATGGAAAATGCTGGGCAAGGCTGTGCTTGCCTGGAATGCCAGCCTATGGGGAGAGACGGCAGATCCCAAGAGTTAGCAGCTGGGAAGCCTCAACAAACAAACAAACAAGAAAACCAAAATCAAAATCACAACTCAAATAGGTTCAGTGAGAGACACTTTCTCTAGGCAGTAAGGTGAAAAGTGATAGACACTCGGCATACTGTTTCAACCTCCCTATGCCCAGGCACAGGCACACACACCCAAGACATTCGTACACACATACAACCTAACACACACACACACACACACACACACACACACACACACACAATCTGTTATGATGGTCTTTCTGTGGTCTTTCTGTGATGTATCTGTCAAGATGGCTGAGTGTACCTTTAGATGAACTGAATGCTTTAACATGGGCAGGCATCTCAAGATAGCTTTTCAGGGAAAGGCAAGACTAACAACCTGAGTTCCACCCCTACAACCAATGGTTAGAAGGAGAGAACTGACTATAGGATATCCTCTGATCTGTGCACTGTGGCACACCTGTCCCAACATGCATGTGCACGAGTGCACACATACACACACACACACACACACACACACACACACACATTCAAATGTAAATTAAGTGTTTTGTTTTTGTTTTTTTTCATCAAATAGGGTTTCTCTGTGTAACAACAGCTCTGGCTGTCCTGGAACTCACTCTGTAGACCAGGCTGGCCTCGAACTCACAGAGATCCACCTGCCTCTGCTTCCCAAGTGCTGGAATTAAAGGTGTGAACCACCACCACCGCCACCAGCTAAATGAATATTTTAAAATGTAAATGCTTAAAAATTAAATGCACTTTATGAGTTGGCTTTTGGAGCCCACTACCTATGGGTAGGATGGACACCTTGAACAACCTTGATCCTGCCTCAACTGAATGTATCAGGCTCTGCTGACTCCCCACGGTAGGCCTTACCTTGTTGGAGGAGGAAATGGGGGAGTGGGTTGTGGGGGGAGGCTGGAGGGGTGGGAGGAGGGAAGAGAGGGGGATCTGTGGTTTTTTTATGTTAAAATGAATAAAAAAAATTCTTAATAAAAAACAAGAAAAAAATTAAATGCACATTAAATGTTTGGAGGAAATTTGGGACTGAAGAGATGGCAGCTCTTGTAAAAGACCCACTTTTGATTCCCAGTACCCTCATGGTGGTTTCCCAACATCCATAACTCCAGTTCCTAAAGATTCATGCCCTCTCTGATGTCCCTGAACACCAGACATGCATATGGTGCACATGAATACATACATGCAAGCAAAAACACCCATACACATAAAAATAAAGCAAAATTCCCCCAGTTTATTTAATGTTTAAAGGAAATCCAGTGAATAAAAACGAATCAACAATCAGTCACATTTTTGTAAGTATAATTTGTTTTACTGGCTGAATAACAAGTTCTATAAGTTGAAACGGAATGTGAACCAAATATCACTTTCAAGCACTAATAAGGACAACAGTCCTTGGGCAGGACAGCAGCCCCTCTCGGTCACTGCTCGCGGCCACCCATGTGCTTCCCAGACTCTCTTGCAGCTATGTAAACACTCTCAATCAAGAGAATAAAATGTCTGACCTGGGTGGAGACCGAACATTCCAGCTGGGCTGGTTCAGTTACTCTGGCTAAGTGAGCAACCCTAGGAAGGTTTAAGACATGCTAAAGAATAGGAAGACTAATTTGTCAATTAGTGAGGTACTGTACTTTTGCTTCCCAGAACCCTGCTTCTAAGGCAGAAATCATGGACCACAGCCATGTAGGATTATAAATCTGCCCACTTTTCTAAATTATGCAGAAAAGCGTGACTATTCCTTTTCTCCTATCTCTTTTCTAAGCATGCTTTCCTTAACACTTTGGGCTTTCCCACCAACGTTTTGGGCTTCCTTATTCTTTCTTGGATGTGCCCCTCCCTCCCTGACATGTGGCTGCTTGTCTGCCACATGTCTGACACCCACCTCTCCCACGTCATCTTAAATGGTGTCACCCTTCTCCTTCTTTCCTCCACTCTCCTCCTCCGGGCAGCAGCTAAGGTTTTACAGCTTTCCTGCCCTGTGGTGCTTCTTGTGAACTCTATCTAATAAAAAGTTGCCTTTGTACTTCCATTTGGGAATCCATCCTGAAATTCTTTCATTTAAGAGAGTAAGGAGGCTGGGCAGTGGTGGAGCATGCCTTGAATCCCAGCACTTGGGAGGCAGATGCAGGCAGACTTCTGTGAGTTCCAGGCCAGCCTGGTCTACAGAGTGAGTTCCAGGAAAGGCACAGAGCTACACAGGGAAACCCTGTCTCAGAAAGAGAGAGAGAAAGAGAGAGAGAGAGAGAGAGAGAGAGAGAGAGAGAGAGAGAGAGGGGATCCCAAAGGCAGAGCCTGATTTCCCCAGTATCATCACAGAGAATGAGTGAGGCTTCACATGCAGCCAAACCACAGGAACCTGACAAGGCAGCACCCTGGGCCCTGGCCTCTCCCTCGCTGTGGGCTGACACTCAGGTATCCATCCGAAGCTACAGCAGAGACCCAGTGCTCCAAGGCATTCCCCAGTCATCTCTAAATCATTCACAGGAGAAAAGGTTAGCAGATTGGATTCTTTTTTCTCGAGT